CTGGGGAATTCTGGGAGTTGAAGTCCACTCATCTTCAAGTGGCCAAGGTTGAGAAACACTGAACTAGAGTATGAAGTGATATGGGGCTTACCTGTACAAAGTTTCGTTATAAATTCATCACCCAACGTGCTCATGGTGGAAAGATCTTCAAAGTGTTGCAACTTAATGATCATGTCTTTAGCAGACGGCCCGGCTAAAGACTTCAATTGTTCTGCATTATATTTGGTCCCAACACCAATGGGAAGCAGCGATACCCCTGGGGAAAGAAGTATATATTTAATTTCTCCTTAATTCAATTTGAACTTCAGTACAGTGTTCAAAAATACTTTGGTTAAAATCAGCTTTTGCATAATACTGATCATTATTTCCATTCTCTGTTTTCGGCATAGATTTGCCCCCCTCCCCCCCGCCAAAACAGAACAGTAACAACAAACAATATTCTCAGAAGATTTAAAAACGATGCTTTGCTGTAAAACCTCTGTTCCCATTTTATAATTAGTTAATTTCATTAAAAGAAATTAATCCGAAATAGATACGTAAACCAGCGTGGATTGAACACTGTCAGTTGCTTAACCAGCTTTGCACAACCAAGAGCTGAGCTTTGCTGTGCACCCTTTTTCCCCTTGCGAGTCTTTGCCTAACGATAATAATTAGGTCAATCAAGAATTCAGCCTTCTCAAAAGCTTTAAAATGGAAACAGACTGTAGCTTTTGTAAGAAGCTTAATTAGCCCTAAAATGCTTAATGGTGCTCCCATGGTCACATTTAATGACAGTTCCGCCCAAGAGCAGAGAACGAACTCTTTTACAGGAAGAGAAGGAAACCGTAATAATTTGAGAGCCACGTCCAATATCTGATTAAATATTTGGCAGTTTTATGTCTTCAGCTGCACTCAGAGTCTAAATTTATAATATTACATGAATAATATAATTTCACAATTCATTTAGACTATTTCACACTAAAAGGAAACTGGCTTATGGACCAATGCAGGAATTGCAATATTCCACCAACTTTGGATCCATTTTTGTTTGGCCGGTAGTTACAACAGTATTTATTTTTAACAGAGCTTGTTTTAATGTCTGCAACTAGACAAAGATTATGGAAATTCCTAAGCTTGTCAGCAAGAGTGTTGAATAGGATTATTACCAAGGGAAATAATCACTCTTTTTTCTCAATGTTAGCTATAACCACTTGTGCTTATCTTTCACAACGCAATATGAAGAGGAAATCTTACCTGAAGATTTAGACTGGGAGTAACAAATAGACACTGAGGTCAAGGCCAGGCTACATGTTACACTACAGCCACATGTAAATTATGCACAGTGACCTTTTCTCTCTTGCATGGCAACTGCAAGGGGCTGGACTTTGCACCATGTTACACAGGAGAAAAGCTTCAGCCATCTTCCTCTTCCCTCTCCCCATGGGAGTTCAATATCTGTTAACTGCTGTAGGCTGGCTTGTGGGTTGCAGCGTACCGAATATAAAATAGCAAAGCAAACAAATGTCCCTCACGAGCCAGGGGAAGAGACTGTTGCACAAAATGCTAAATATATCCTCCTTTTCTCTGCTGAAAACCTTTTCTTCTCTAGTGCACCTTGGGAAAACACTCGGGGATGCTGAAGAATGGGCTCTCCAGTCTTAACACCTACAGACTCAGGAACACATGTGTGTATATGGACTTCTGTGGCATCCATCAATGTATAAAGCAGGGCAAATATATTTCAGCACAGAAGAGCGGGGCATTTACAATTTTCATTCCACGACAAGCTGGAGATACGTTGCAAAAATATCATCACACTATAAAAGTAGTGGCAAAATAACAAAATTACTATTGATTCTTGCAGAATACACAGCAGGTTCCACGGCATCTCTTGAGGTGCCTGCCACAATAATCACAGCAATTTTGGATGCGTTGGGCCTCCCTCCGTTGACTTCGGAAATGGCATGCTGAACCATGAAGTCTATTGCTTCCCCTGAAAATGAAACAAAAGAAAAATAGCTTACTCTACAAGCAGAGTAAAGAACACTTCATTTCATCAAGAAAATGCAGGCATTTCAAATTATAAAGCAACTCTTCATAGTACTATTGTTTTCCATTCCGAAACCTATTTTTCTACTACTGAAGGATCATTGAATCCTTGGGGCCAATAGCAGGAGAGGAAACGTCTCCTAATAGCATATTTTTCTGTCTCATTTGAAGGAGAACATCTTAATGGAGATGCAGTGGCATCCAGTGGGAAGAAATCAACAAAAATCATCCTCGTTTCCACACCAGGACTGCGTGCCTCAGCTATTCCGATTCAATGGCCAAAACACATTGAGCTAATTTTTCTTGTGGTTTGAAGGGAATATTGTAACAGTTGTGAGTCCAGCCTACCCTACACCCAAACAACACAAACAGAATATGTTGTTGCCATCAGGGGTGACCAGGTTGTGACTAGATGGCATTCAGAAGTTTGTTGAAAACTTGGCTATTCAAGGCCCTTGTAGGATACATCTTTGATTACATTATCTGGACATCTGTAACCTTTGCTTCTTTATTATTGTCCTTGCTAGTGAAGTTGTAAGCTTCTCAGGGTCTTGCGGAGTTGGGAGGCCTCCAAATTATAAAATTAAATAGGGGGCTAGGTCATCATGCTTCATGGCACAGGGGGATAGGAGGTGGTGGCTGCCTGACTTTGGCTATGTGAGGCAGAGAGATCTCCACAGGGCCCTGCACCACGGTTGCAACTGCTGTGGATCTCTTGAAAGAGCCACTATGGTCATTGGGCCTTACAAGGGAGAGAAGGGCTGGAGCATCTGGCCTCTGCTGGAGGAGGATCTTGGTTGCACCTCATACAAAGAGGAAATCAGCAGCGGCCACCCCACTGGAGGAGTAAAGGAGGTTGTCATTGTGACCTGAATGTATTGGAGCAGTGTGCGTTCAGGTGTGCTTTGGAGAGAAAAGAGGTGGGACTGTATGTACTTTCATTCAGGTTTTTTCCCATAGTGAGCCAGTCAGCTAATGAGTAAGGGAAAAGAGGGACACACTTTAATTTACAAATGATCAATTGATTACATGTGGAGGAAATCCAGTGAAAGCAGCAGTTATGAATTTGATTAATATCTATTCATTTACTTTTTGGAGTGTGGTCCTTGACACACCCAGCAAAGCTGATGCTATCCCAAGTTCAACTAGGTTGCACACTCTGGTATAAAGAAGCAAGGAATGACTTAATCATAACTGGATCTGGGGGTGACCCACCAGCATTTTAAGGGGAGCTAACTCTGAAGCCAGATAAATCATAAACTAAACAGCTTTTGTTCTAAAAAAAATTACGGACAGAAAATTAAAAGCATTATAACCGAAAGTAGGAAGGGAAAACTCCAATAAACTCAAGCAGAGGGAGACAGAAACAAAGATGTGACATTCTTAAGAAGTGTCCTGTTTGTATCTCTGTAAAATGAGAGATAAAATGTTAAATTGCTCTCAGATGTTTAAGTTACACGCATCAGGAGATTCCTCGGAGCAGAGGCTCCTCCCTTAAAACAGGATCCACAACCCTATCAATACCTTTCTAATGATTTGGACCAGGTCTTTCTTAAAGGTCTTCCTTCCGGAAGACTTCCTCAGATTGAACCCTACAGGACAACTTCATTAGGTCTCAGAGAAGACACAGAAGCAGATTCCTGGACGGGAGATACTCGCTGCAACTGCTATGCCAAAATAGTCACCTAATCATTCAGTGCTGCGATAACCCATTGTTAAAGAAGGGTATATTATTCAGTCCTTTAATTTACCATTATATTATCAGTTCAAGGGTTTGCTTCATGCAGATTTTCTTTCTTTCTCTGTGCATTTTCTTCATATTCTTCCCTGCACCAGTATGATTATTACTGATCACAAACGCTTAACACTGAGGCTGAGGTTGACCATTCCCACCGGTGAATCCCAGAGTGCTCATTTACCAACCCAAATTCTGTCCAATAAGTTAAAAGTGGACATGGTTCCTGTAAATAGCCACTTCGCTTGTTTCTTGTCCTACCTCCTCCCTGTTTTTCCCGCAAAAGCTTCTCCTACACAAATGCACACTGATCTCTGAGGACGTGGATTCTGTTCCTCCTCCCAAACGAAGGGTCTGCATCTCTGCAGCGCTCTCTGCCGTTCCTTTCTTACGAGCCAGTCAGTCGAAAGGGAGGTTACTGCAAAGCAGCGCATGTGTGAGTGGCACATTGGGCTACGAGAACTTTATCTGCCTGAAGAGCAGGAGCACCACAGTGCGCTCAGAGTAACCATGATTGAGGCTGTTCTGTTGGGCCTCTCTGTCCTGCCTTAACGGCAGGGCTGGAGTTTCTGTGTTCCTGCACAAACAGGAGGATACCGAGACTGCACCGCAAGACTGAATCCAGCTGAACATACCCTGACACCCATCCTGGCTGAGGCAGGAGCAATAGCCGTGCCTCTTACTATCATTACCTCCCCATTTTCGCAACCTTACTACACCCAGAGGATTGTCATCTGACATTGCTTTCTGTTCTTGCTGCATCGGCTGAGGTGCTCATCCTTGACCACTACGAGAAGCATAATTTGTATTATGCTTCTGATGCCTTTCGAAGGTCATCTCTTTGGTCAGGCCTTGTGATGTTTTGGGCTGGTAGCACCGCTCGTTTTATTCATTAGGAACACGTAAGTGTTCATATTTTACAACTGTTCATTTAGATATTATTTTAAGAGATCATTCAGAAATATAACCGATAAAGAAATGGAGTTCTATCATGTCATTAATGTCCCATTGACTTAATGGGACATTTTTCTATTGCTGTTTGTGGCCTAGATAGTTCAGTGGGGCCTCTTTGACTGATGCTCCATCCCTGGCAGAAACCTGGGCATTGTGAAGGATGCTCAGAGTTAGGGGTCACCAAGTCACTCCAAGTTCTGAGCTGCTTACAATAAGATCACTCTGCTTTCAGTATTTGCTCAAAGGGCACAGGATCTCAAGCAAGGTAGGCCAATATTACAGGAATGTTTAGTGGTCACAGTTCTAGATCTTAATGGAACTTATAAATAGAGTAAAATTCCAGATTTTCCCACTGCGACTACATGAATTTTAGTTTGCACAGATTTCTAAAACTGATGTTAAGTACATGTAAGTACATTTTAAATAAATAAGAAAATACACAAATAGTCATTTGTAGTTTAATAAACGTTCTTAGAATTGATCAGAGCAAAATCTTCTTTGCCCTTTCACTGCAGACCAGAGAAGAAGATACCTAGTTTGCTGGGGCCTTGCTCTCTTTGATGGATGGCATCCACCCTTTTCAGAAGATCTGTTTTTTCCTGGAGTACGTTCCATGAAATTTCCAGAGAGTTCACTTTTCCATATTGAAGCACTGCCACTTGAGTTGAAGAATGGCCTGGAGAGGAAGCCAAAAGATTTAGAGAGGAAAATGGATTAAGAAATTAAAAAGGTTGGACTAGAACTTGCTTAGGGCTACCAGACTTCAAAGTCAAAAAAGAAGACACCTTTGCATATTGATTTGCATGATTTCCATATTCACATTGCATACCATTTTTTGTCACTTGAGCCCAACAACCTCAGACTATACTTTTGGATGAATTTAATTACTTGTTGCTTTCAATCCAGTATAACGTTCTGGAAAATCCTTTATTTCACTTGTGCAGCACAGAAGATAAACACACTGCTACCTGAATCCTGCCCCACCAAACAACCAAAACAGGAACTGCATTAGACAAAGAACAGAGTAAATAATAACATGTTGTTCAGTATCTTGTACTCCCAACATAATATGAGTGATCTAACCCAAGCATTTGGACAAGATCCTTGGTGGTTTATTATGTGATCCTAGCTTTCATAAGAGTGGAATAATACGTCAGGGAGACATATTTCAAATAATTTTGTAATATCCCGCAGTCATATTTTGAAAGAAATTTACAAAAAGAATTAAGGACTTAACTAAATCCAAAAGAAAAATGTGTCCATCATGCTACTGTCATTAGGGTTGAGCAATACTATGCAGAAAAGAGTTTAAAAAAAATAGGAAGCCAAATAAATTAAAGGCATGAAAAAAGAAAAGGAAACATAATTTACATCAACAATGTTCTTTGTATTTCTCCATAACTTTCTATCTTTTCAAAACATGCTTTCTTCTACCTCGTTTCCCCACTACTTCATACACTGCTTGTCCTCGTCTCCCATTCTCATCATCACATCAACTCCAGCCTTCCCCGTCATCCCCTTCCTCTTGACCCATTCACTCTTCCTTCATATATCAGTTTTGTCATTCATTCCTCATTCATTCTCTCTTCATGACTAACCGATCTCAACATACTTCTTCTGTCCCATTCACATTCATTCGGCACCTGTTCATTCCACACTCTACGTCTTACTGTTTTTCACACACACCTCATCGGCATCCCATTCCTATTGTATTCAGCTGACATACGCCAATTTTCACATCCATATAACAAAGGGGGCGGATGCACTCTCTTGCACAACCATTTTTATTTCACTCATTCTACAATCATTCTCACAACAGGCCAAATACTATTCACCACCTTTCTACCAGCATTTGCACTTAAGATTTCTTCACCTATTTTGCCATCTTTGATAAGTGTTTACCATGGTGCACAAATTCACCAATTTGCTCTAGTTTTTCAGCATTTACATATAACTTATAATCATGGACTCCATTCTCTCTGCCAAACACAAATATGTTGGTATTTGGTATATTAAATGCCCTTAATCCCCACTGTGTCATACAGTTTATCTAACATTCCCTGAAAATCTTGTGGATTCTTGGCCAACAACACAGCGTTATCTGCATATATAAGTATGCATACATTCACATCCCCAACCAACACTCCTCCGATAACATTACAAGCGTTCCTTATACATGTATCCGTAAATACCTTTAAACATACAAAGGGCATGACACATCTTGCTCCCTGTTGAAAGATTTGCTAAGTATTCGATTTATTTTTATGCGTGCTTTACTTGCATCATATACCACTCAGCAACCAACTTCAACCATATTTGCAAACGGCCTTCCATAACTGAAGCCTGCTATCACACATACTTTTTCTAAATCTTTCAGAAACTCTTTGTTTCTCAATGACGTGGGGAAGAGCTAAAACATGATCCTCACACCCTCTGCCCTGCATTTCCCAAATGTTGCTCAGTGTCACTTCTAGTAGCCAACCCCACACGGCCCATTAATACCCTGACAGATGGAGTCTTTATTCACACATTCAGCAAGTCACATGGCTACTCCCTAAGCAGACCACAGCTATATTTTAACATTTCTCCTGTTATACCATCATACCGGCAGCTTCGCAATTTTTCAACATTCTCAAGGCATTGATGATTTCATTCTTTTTTTTTTTTTTGGATATCAACGTTAACACATGCCTCAGTCCCACTGTTTAGCATTTCATTAGCATTACCATGCCTGAATCTAAAATATTCCAGCATTGCCTCACTTCAGTTCCATGCCAAAACATTTCATCATTTTGACCCTTAAGTCCATCCACAATGATGAAGGGCTCATTGTTTAGTCCTTTTCCATTTTTTTTATTTCCACCAAAGTCAATCTGCGTTCTTCTGCCTCTCTGAATTTAACTGTTCCTTGTCCTCTTTGACTATAGTCTTTGCCATTATTATTATTTTTTGTCTATACACAGTACACAGTATCTTTTTCGCACTTTTTTGTAGCCACATTGCCACCTATGTGCTTTCCCCCTCATCCACAGCCTCTTTCACTTCATCATTCCACCGAGCAAAGCAAAAGGGACGCGACTAGAGAGGCAGCACAAAGCCGTCAGCAGGACTGACACCGGCGACATGCTGCTGCATGGCGCCAAAAGCACCGTGGACAGGACAGTCTGATTCCCAGGTGTCATTTCTACTGTTGACTTTCTGTGTTTCCACCTACTACGCTTCCTCAAGCGCTTGGGCCAGTGCAATGCAAGGCTGCTCTGCTCCCAGATAGCCGGGCTTCTAGGAAGTGGCACACCTCCCAGTTTTAGGAGCGTGCCTGGAGTCCAGGATGCCTCCCACACAACTGGAATTGTCTCGCAAAATGGGGTCATCTGGTCATCCAAGTGTGATTAGAAGCAGGGCCTGGGTTTCTGAAGGCCCAGGTTATCAAGAAAATCAGCTTGGTTTTGAAGTTTTTCCCACAGACACTTTGGGGACTTCAACATCCTGAACCTATCTATCCAGACCAATCTGGATTCTTGATAGGTCTAAGCATGCTTGATTTTTATTAATGATGGAACTAAAGTGTAAAGTAGTGCATGTCTTCCTCACTCTCTTTCTGTAAAGAATACAGACTTCTTTGTGCTTGCTCAGCTGTCCTCTGACAGTATAAGTCTTTGACTTCACTTATTAGTTTACGAACAGCATGATGTGTAAGATGCGGTGGTTGTTGAGTGACCTTGCCTTTGGTTTTCTGACTGTTTTCCCCTCACCCCACCCCAGATACACATATCAAGACACATTTTTCTTTTTTTAAAAAAAGTTGCATCTTTCTCTTTGTTAATCAACAAAAAGCTTTCTGTTGTAGCAGCTTGAAGATTAACAAATTAATACATGCATAAATTTGTTCACTTTCCAAAAGCTTTTAACGTTAGTAAATAAATTATTCTTCAAAGTGCCTGAAGATATTTCTGGTTTTTGTTGCATCAGAATAAGACAGCTACCTGGCTGAGATTTGTTGCTAATCCAATTGACCCAAAGAGTCAGTGCAAGAATATCTGTTCGCTGCTTAGCCACTTCATCAGAGTACCAAATAAGGAAGATGTAGCTTTTAGTTCCAAGGAACTGTCATGCCCTGGCACAGAAATAATCTTTGTACCAGGAAGACCATATGAGCCAGAAGTTCCTCAGAAGAGCCAGGCCCTGGCACCTGAGATGAGGTAGATTCCTATGCTAAAGTTAACAAAGCTTCATAAATATAGATCAAGATTCTTTTTAGGAAGAGTTTATAGGCTTACCTTAATGCCGCCTTCTTGTAGATAACATCTAGAACGTCCAGAAGTCTAAAATGAGGTAATACTCACCAACATCAGCGTGCTCAATAAATGCTTTCACAAAACGTTTCATTTCCTCAAACTGTGACTCTTCAACGTTTGAAGTTCCATCCAGAAGAAATACCACATCCATTGGCTTGCTGCAAATTCCTGAGGAGGATTTTAAAGCTTTTCATTGTCAAGATTTCTACATTAAGTAACTGGCAAATAGTGTAACTTTATAAAAGCAACAGGAAGTGCTTCTATTCTCAAGTTTAAAAATAACAAATAAGCCAGAGGTTACCTTCCTTCGAGCAGCATGTCTTGAGTACCAAGTCAGGCCCTTCTTGGATGAGTTTGTTAAAGCCGTCTATGATAATAGGAGCCTGTGGCTGGCTTAATTCTTGGAGTTCCTGGATGTCTGCATTGGGCCTTATGCCAATAGGAATAATTTGGACATCGCTGGATGGGCGAGTGATGGTATCTGTGGCAGGATTTGCAGTTACCATGTAAACCAAGTGCGGCACTTGCTCTGTTCTTCTGCTGGTGGTAAACGATTGTTCAGAGATATAATTGAGAGCCTGTCCAGTGTTGGTTGCGTTTCCTCCCTGGAATTTCATCTCCTGCACCTTCTTAATCAGAAGCTCCTTTGACTGATGTTCCTTGAAGGAATACTCCACGGTGATGGTAAAGGAATACTGCACGATGCTAATGCGAATGGTTTCCTCTCCTATTTCCAACTCCCGGATTGTACGGATAAGAAATTCTTTGATCCTATCAAAATTGTCCTCGCCAACTTCGTGGGACCCTTCAATTAAAAAGACAATGTCACGTATCTTGTGAACAGAAACAGAAATCTCCGTTGAGCCTACTTCACGACCGCTTGCTGGTACCGTCACTGCACCAATGCTGGGAAGAGTTGGAACTGGGCTTCGGGTGGAAAATATAGCACTCACTTCAGGCACAAGACCACAGAAGTAATCGATTATTTCATCCTTGCGCTGCCTTAACTCAAGGACACTGTCCAGTATGTAAGCTCTGTTTTCTGGTGACTGCCTCTCAATTAATTCAATTTGTTCTGTGCTGACGTGGGGCCCAAGCCCAACCGGTATCACAATAATTTTCTTCTTTTTCAAAAGTGGAAAGATTGCCTGAACTTTCTTGGTGTCCTTGCTTGCTGTAAACAACACAGCAATTCTGGCGGCGTTTGTGCGCGGTGCCTTGCCAAACACATGGAACACAACATATTTGAGTACCTCAGTGGCAGAGGCTACATCTCCACCAGTGTATTTTATATTTTGCACAATCTTCCTCATTTTAGATGGCCTTTTAATATCCTTCAGGCCAAGGTAAATGTGTGAACCAGTGCGGTATTCCAGGATTGCCAAGCGAATTCGTTTTTGGGAGATGTGGAGTTTTTCCATCATGCTAATTATGAAACTTTTCAGCTCTTCGAAATCACTCTCTGAAAGCTTATTGGAACCATCCATAAGGATGGCAAGGTCCATCATTTTGCTACAAGAATATTCACGTGTGACGACTTCTTCTTCTCCTCCTTCTTCTCCTTCTTCTCCTTCCTCTTCTTCCTCTGGACCAACAGTGGGCAAGATTTTGCCAACCTCTTCTGGATCACATGGGTGACATGTCAAGTTCCGTACTTCACAATGGCTAACAAAGTAGGAGAAACAAACAGTTAAAACTCCATTTTAAACTTTCAAAAGAGGAACAAGGAAGAGCGTAATCTGTGTTTGCTCTTTCCAGTTTTTAATAACTATTTGTTCCTAAGTTTAGTTTATTGATTTTGCTGTCCAAAAGCTCACAATAATTTACACATTTTTTCTTTGACAGAAAATAAATCTGGCATAAGGAAAGCTCAGGAAAATCATTGTCTCAAGCACAATTACAATATAAATTAATATGTGTTCTATCAATAAAAAAAAAAAGAGTAACACTGAAAATGGCCTTCATTCTCTCCTTTCCCCATCACACCTTTAAGCTTTTCTTACATACTTACTGAACTAACCTGACACAATAAAGTCAACAGTCAGTACAGAAGTACAGATTATGGCAACATTTAGACCAACTCCTTGTGTGATATATCTTGAAAATGACCGAGATTGTTCCTTTCAGCTGTTACATGCTATGAAAAAAATGTGTAGGGAAAACACCATCTCGTTGGTGGATCTACTGCACATTTCATATGCAGACTCCGATAAAGCGTCCATGTAGAACTGTTGCATGTTACGCTGGTTGTTTCACCCAGTCCTTCTTCTTGGGGCTCTGCTTCGAGGCTTCATAATGGATTCAGCCCCAGAACAGCAGCATGGACAAAGGCCACGAATTAAATGGGGCTGAAACATCAAAGAACACCAGGTTGCTGGTATTCCAGCTGTCCTTTAAGTCCTCTGAAGATAACCTTGTTAGCTCTATGGTTTTAAATGGAAACAATGCCTCCATCAAGTACTTTAAGTTCTGTTAAAGAAGGTTACTTATGTAACCTTATATTATGTAAATAATAAATATTTCATTTTCAACCAATAAAAATAAAGGGCTCTAGCCTGCCCAGGAACCATGTAAACATCTACTTTTGTCAACTGTTTGTCCAATGTTGGGGGGAAAAAACTACCCAGACAGTACTCAAGTTTCTATACTGTCCTATTCGTCAACAAAAAGATGTCCTGGTTGGTGATCTTAAGAAAGACCCTGTATGGTAATACTTTAAATATAGTCCAAAAAGGAAGAGCAGAGTCTGTCAAATTCAGCAAGAGATACAAGGCCTGGTTGTAGAAATGAAGCAGTGATGTAATTAATGAGCTATTTAATGTAGGAGAGTGAGTTAATAAATTTACCCCACTGTAAAGTGGATTAAACTGGCTCTATCTCTTCCTCATTCAGATCATGACTAAAATCAGTTATTTCACTTCCTCCGAATTGCTGGCTTGCAATCACCTCTTCTACCCTTTTATTGTGTTGGCATTTTACAGCCACTGCTAAATTTCCTTGGCTAAGTGGCAGAGCTGAGGAGCCCCTGCTCATCTGTTCAAGCGAGGCAGAGCAACTGTCCGGGCACAGGACGCAGGATTCTTGCAAGGAGCGGCGGGTTGGACTCCTTTAGCTAAGGGGCCTCTTCCAACTCTGGATTCTGGGTGTTCCTTGAGCCTTTGAGACCATTCAGTCTTCACTTTCTTGCAGAAGTATAGTTAAAGAAAGTCTGCATTGGATTTCTAGAAATTAAACAGAGGCCAACTCTCTCTACACTTTAATCCTCCTGGGCACTAAAGTCCAACAATATTTGCTTATGTTCTGGCAGAACATTTCACATTGGTTAAAATCTGTATCAAGATGGAGAAGCCTGCACTGGGTCTTGACTGTGGGGCTAAGGACCTTCCTCTAGAGATCCCTGGCTGACCTGGGCAAGGGGACATAAGGAGAGAGCTATAAGATCATCCACGCTGTTGTAAGAACCCTCTTCTCAGCAAAAGCGGGTGAGATCTGGTCAGCTCCCAGCCCTAACCACAACGCAAAATTCCAGATCATTTATGAAACCACCTGAAAAATAACAGCACATGATCTGAAGGGGACACTCAGCCTAAGAATGGCGGGTATTAATGTGTTGAGTTACAAGACTATTATAATTTATTTTTCCAGCCCTGGTGTAGTATTTACCTGACGACAATCTTTTAACTTCCAATTTTCTTTGGATATCTGCTACAGAAATGTTTATACAGATGTATACCATTTAAATTAGGTGAAAACTTGAAGACATTGCTGAGTCCATGGAGAAACAGACCTTCATAGATGTTCATGTCATTCCAAATTTACATAGAAGCCTACTGGCATGTACCAGAAAACACCAGCAAGCATTTGGAAAGGTATAAACTGTAACTCCACTAAGTACAGACACGTGTTTTTGTGGAAGCTAAAAGTGGAAAACCTCTATGTTAAAAGATCAAACATCTTTTGAAAATGTTTCTTTTCACTTCAATACTTCTAATACTTTTTAGAATGATAAAATTCTGATAATCAATACAGTTTGTCAAGGCTTTGGGGTAGTTCAGCGTGCTTCCACATCAGGGTTCAGTATCTGAAGTGAGCAAATGGCTGGATGTTTTTCACTCAGCACAGCAAAGTTGGTCAATCTGAATGTAATCTTAAGATTTAATTCAATAATTTGAATTCTTGACTGAGACAGTGACTTCAATGGATAACAATTACGGGAGAAAAATTGCATGGATATGTAATGCTCAGGAGAGGGGGAGGGGGCTCAAATAAACATCCCGCCTCCAGCCTCCCAGGCCTGAAGACTGTCTTCTCCCTGGTGAAGAATTGCTGAAGTTATTGAACTGACATCAGACTACTTCTAAATTAGTAACTGTGGCTTGACTTAGCTATTTTTAAAAAATCCTGTTTCATAGAAAAATGGAGAGAGAGAGAGAGTATTCACTTTAACACAAACTCAGTTTTTTAAAAAGGGGGTAGTTTTCTACACTCAGAAAAATGTTAATTGTTCTGATCTCTGGGCCAGGCAGCCACAGAGCATCCGCTTGAGAGTAACTTTGGTTTTGTGAAGGATGATTAATGGTCCTCCAAGATCCCTTAAGACTGACACAACCGATTTTCTGAGAAAACCTTGCCAGAGTCCTAACCCACCGACTTCTGCTAAAATCCAGAGCTATGGAGGACACGTATGAGATGGCATATGCATTTCTTCCTTGCCCTAATTCACCCGGCCCCCTCCCCTGAATTCCACAAAGTCCTCTCTTTTACCAGGATTGGCAGAGCTGAGCATTCTCCGAGTTCAAAATTATCTTCTTCCCATGAGAAATCCTGCGACCTTCTACTTCGCACACTGGACACTCCTCGAGTTTGATACAAGACTCAGAAAGCTCATCAAGAATTTTTCCTGTTTCACAGAATTGTTGGAGAATGAGTTTAATTTTTTAAAAAATACAACAAGATACCCTGACATTTTAAACATTTAGCCTCTCCCTTGGAAACTTAGTAAGAACTCCAGAGCACCACATCTCCCGGGTATTAGCAGTCCTAGTGGTGCCACCCGTGTTTCAATTCTTCTACTCTTCTGCTGATTCTGCAAAAAAACATTCAAGCAGTTCCATAGCAACTTTACTGATTTATCCTTTCCCACATCTAACATGAAACCGGGGAAGAAGGTCATCGGGAAACAAGGAGAAAAGAAAGCAAAGTCTAGAATTGAGCTAGAGATCAGCAACTGAATCCAGTCGCCAAATGACAGCCACTCTTTCCCCTTCTCTTTACTAACATCTGGGTTGCAGTATCATCTCAGAAAGAGGAAACAGGATACAATTGTTTTCCAACAAAGCACATACTAAAACAAGCAGGCAAAAAGAGTCCCATGAGCCAAAGAGCTGAATTCACCCTTGCCCGATCAAAAATGTTGAAAGATGATACAAACTGTGGTCAAATTGGTACCTTTACGAGCTAGAGAAAGACCTCTTCCCCTTTAAGTGCAAAAATAATGTGCTCCGAGCTATCCAATCCTGAGTCTCTTTGGAAGACAGATGTTTTGCTCTGGGGTGCTACTCTCTTCACAACACAATTCTCCACTCAAAACAAGACATCATAAAGATGGGCATCACAGCAGTTTTGAACTTAATGCCATTAACCCATTTTGCAGTATTTTGGTCTTTCAAAATAAGGAGGCAGAAACATGTTGCTCTTCCCTTTGGAAGTTGGAGCCCCCTAACAGCTGGTATCTGGGCCGTTCTCTCTCTCTACACACACACACACACACACACACACACACACAGAGGCTATAATTTGTGAAGGTGTTGGGGACACAGTTTAATTTCTTTAAAAAGAGATAGGTGGATGAAGAAGCCTTTTAAACCCATCTCTCTCATTTCTGGGTGCCAGTCTGTTTTCTGAGTTATATACAGAGAAAAGAATTGCATTTATTTTATTTCCTCAATAGGAAGAGAAAGCCTCCCTGATTTGAGTGTATTTCTGCCAGAATACCAAGTCCAGCCATAATCTGAACAGACCAATTACCACTATTCCATTCTTTATTCCTTGCTTCCAATATCCCAAATCCTTTGCATGTATTATCAGAGTAACATTTACAAGAGTCTCATGAAGGAAGACTAAGTAGGAGTATTATCTCTGGGGCTGCCCTGCTAAGTGAAACCAACTCAGCTAATACCACTGGAGAGATGAGATCTGAATGAGGAACTTCATGGGGCACAGTTCATTCTTCTGACCACACAACCATATTTCCCAAATCTGAATGCCACATCTCCAACCAGTCACAACCAGATGTTGTCACTGATCAAAGCATTAGAAAACTGAAGGACAACAGGAGAAGTCCATAACTTGCCTCTTCCCACTTCAATAATCAAATTATTTAAGCAACAGTGAGAGTCCAAGTAAGATCCTCCTGACCAGCCATCAGGCATGGAGCACAGATTCTTACCTGCAGGGCAGTGTGGATGGCATCCTTCGACACACTTCACGGGACACGGTATTGGATCCATGTGCTGGCATGTCCTTGGACAGGCAGGACCACAGCTGTTGTATCGCCATTCACACTGATATTCCTCCTCCACTTTGTTCATACTTTCACAACTTTGCGCTACAAAATACCAAATAAAAAAAACAATGGAATCCCCGTGCTGTGTAATCACACCAATAAAAAAAACATGAGAGAATCTGTGCATGTGTCCCCTTAGGTGGCAGCTTGAGATCAGCCCTTTACTCTTGTGTACTTCCTATATATTAACTTTCTGCGCTTCTTTAACAATGACTGACTGGGTTATTGTATAGCATATTCCAGAAGAAGGGATGAGAGAGTGTGACTTGCTTCCATGGCAGAATACGGTTCAAACTGGGGGTATCACCACGTTGGTCTTTGTTTCCCCAATTCTGCATTGCTTCTTTGCAGGCAACGGGCGACAAAGGCAGCAGCAGTCACTGTTCCTCTGAGATGTGCTACAGCTACTAATTAATGCACAAGCCATTTCCCCACTAGAGTCCTCTAGCAGAACACAATGACAGTTGAGAAAAAAGAAAAAATTGTCCTCATTGCTGTTCGTTAATTTATAGTGGTCTATTGGTGACTGGATCATTCTAGAAGACACTGCAAGTCACTAGTGGGGTTCCTACTATAGTGGTGTCCTTGCAGAAGTTGGTGGGCCTTCAAAGGCCACTTGTCATCTATCATTTGTTTCCACTGGGTCTTCCAAGCGACCCAGTGTAGCACCATAGTGAGAAAAGTAGGGGGGAGATCATGAGATTTAGTTTCCCTTCCCTGGTGGGATTCAATCAGCCCGGTTTTAGTTGTTATGAATGTTCATGGCAACACAGATATGCAAGTACGCCATAAAAGCTGGGAACGTAGAGGGCTCACTGACCCACTCGGAGAGCCACATCTGGAGCTCTGGAAGTGACCCAATCCACCGCAGGGACTGTCCAGTCTGCCTTGGTCCCCAAGCCAGACACCTGACTCGGTAGAAACAGAGCTCAACTCTCGCCCGGCCTGGGAAAACAGCTGTAATGTGATTTTCAGCAGAAGAGAGTGGAGTCTGTGGGGCAGCTCTATTTTTATGAGGTAGCGAAGAGTGCCAAATTTTACAGAAATTGAGGACTTTGGAGATACGCTGCTATAAAGACTGTTATTTGGGAGACTGAATGTAAATGAAATTTGCAGTAATAATAGCCCTTTGGGGGGAATATCCTTGCCAGATATTCTAACCCTTCCTGAATATGGTGCAGTTAGTTGTCAGAGGTCGCAGGAGGCACACAAAGGATACACTTTCTGGTCTTTTCTATAAAACAAAGTTGTCGCAAAGCGCAGTAAGTTAATGCAGGTCGGAACACACCCAGGATCAGAGATTAACAATGAGAGGAAACCACGTCACCAACAGTCCTCCTGTCCCCTGGGCAGCCAACCATGATAATGTGATCAGAGCAACCAAAGCTGGCCTGAGGACTGCTGCGTCGTGGCCCTCCTTCTCCGCCCCACTGAGGCATCTCGTATAAACAAGGTTTATGTAAATGCAGCCAGAAAAATAACCTCACAGCCAGTGCCTGCTTTGGAGTGCAAGAGCTGAAAGCCACCATCAGGTTCATGGAGGCTCAGAATCAACATCTGCACCATCTCAGCTAAGTAGATGGAAATTCTGACGTGATCCTCTTTTGTGTCAGAATTTGCATTTCAGCTGACTTCAAATCTACCCACAGGGCTATGGTCATGACAGGGAAAAAGGGAGAAAACCACACTGCAGTTTTAAAAACAGTTCTACTGGTAAGAAGTCTATAGCAGTACATTAGAACGTGTATAACGTGATATTTCAGGAAACAATAATCACCCAAAAGCCGTCATAGAAATAGTTTGGAGGAAAATGGAATCAAAAGAACACAACGAGAGCTCGATGCGTAATGCGTCAAGTACCAACCAAAACACTAGCATGGACTGGGCCAGAAGGTCCACCCATCCTGTTAGGTTTCTGTTTCCAAGCTTAAATGCCGTGCATGCAATGGAGGAGAATGGCCACGACCCACAAACCCACGACGCAGCGTCCGCCGTCAGCCCTGTTTAACGACTGCAGTCGTTACTGCTTTTCATTACAGGTATACAGTGCAAGGCTTCCTGTTCCTCCAAAACGACTCTTTGGCTCAGCTCACAGCTTTACATATTTCTTAGCTAGGATGGAAGAAGGCTATGGTTTGAACATGGCGAATGTGGTATTTCTCAAACGATGTTGCGGGGCAGTTTCCAGGACTCATTCAAGACATATTGAAGTCACGGAAAAGTGGCTAAATAAATACGGATATAAATTTAATCGTCGTAGGAAGTTAGTAAAATCTACCTCGAGCTAAGTTCAGTTGCTGGTGACCACATGGATACATCCATGTTGTTTTCTTAGAAGTAATTTTCTACTTCAGATGTTTTTTTACCTTCTCGGCCCTTCCACAGATCAGACTAACTGGCATTAATACCAATATTGATAGGCCACCAACAAGCAGAGCTCCTTTAAAACATGCAGAAGAACGTCACAAACAGCAAAGTCAGAGTTTTTGGAAGGACGGGTATATACTATTTTGCTCGCAAACAGGACAGGCGCTTCAGAGTTACTATGGGCACGCTCACTAGGAGGGTGCTGCGCTAAATCCGAAGCATTTTCCTCTCTTCTGATCTAAATACTGCGCCCCTCAGAAGGGGGTTCGTTCTTATTCTCCCCACAGCACTTACGGCATAGAGTAGGAGACCTCCAGTGGATCACTGCCCCGTTCTGGGCACAGGCGTGAGCGTAAGCAGCGAGAGCATCACAAAAACAGGCACAGTCCCCGATGGACTCACAAGTACAGGTGTCATATGTGCAGATATCCACATAAGGCTCAGGATCCACCTATGAAGAAAGCTGTGCAAGTCAAACTCTTACGCCCTTGAGGAGGGTTCCGTTGCTTTAAAAAACAAGGCGACTCATATAAAATGGAGACTTTTCTCCAAATCAAACCCTAAACCTTGGGAGGCCCCAGAAGCCACCCCTGCCAACGGTGAACCCTCCAGTGCAAGGACCCTGCCTCAGGGGCAGGAGAAGCACCGATCTCTGGATTCTTCAGCCGCTTTATCTCAGATAGCCTAGTTAGAAAGAAATGCTTTCTGAGGCCCCGGAGCATCTGCTACCAGAAAGCCAAGCCATGAGCAGTTGGCAGCATTAAGAGCCAAACAGGATGCAGGATCCCATCTCTTTTTAAGCCCAAAGCAGTCCTTCAGGAAGTGAACCTGAGTGGAGGAAGAAGGCATGGGGAGCTTAATATACTTTATTAGTCTTTTCTCGGCATCAGCTCCCCAAGCTCCTTTTTCACCCGTAGGTATAGAGATGCAGGTTCTCCATCATTTCCCTGGAAATCCTGGTTCCAAGCTAAAATAAATGACTGAAAGAAGAAAAGTTATATTTTCTAAACCACACCTCTTTCATTCAGAAACAACCTGACAAGGGAGATGAGAGTTTCTCTTACAAAAATGCTTTCTGAAGTTGATTGAGTAGAATAGACAAAATGTTGATTTCTCTTCTGAGCTTGAAGTCAGACTTATTCCCCACAGACACAGCCTGGTTCCCTCCCACTTCTATATAGGACAAAAGCCAGAAAGACATTGAAAAATGAAGAAACCTTCAGACTAAATCTACCAAAAGGAAGATTTAGTTTGAAGATCACAAAAATAAAATATTGGGCTCTAGGAATGTTTAAGAAATAGAAGGATGTTGCACAGGCGGTCCTGCTGCTCTTGGACTGCCTACAGAACTGAAAGCTTTCTGCTCTCTGCACTGACGGTTGCGAACGGCTTCTTGTTCCCCCAGTGAAGTCAGTGGAATTTCCCCCGACTGTGCCCACATGACAAGCTAAGCCATATACTGCTTCATCCAGATGTGGTTTGCAAAAGGCCATTAGCCATAACCTTTACTTTGGTTAAGAAGTGGTAGCCATGGCTCACAGCATCAACCAAGTCAAGATTAACACTTGGCTTATATTTCAACAGCCATCAGTCTTCCAGAGCAGCAAGATGGGGTCAGGACCAGCTGCAAAATGGAACCTCTACACTTTTGTCTGGCAATCCGTACAGGAGATTAAAAGCAACAAAACTAAACTAAAGAAAGAAATTAAGAGTTTGGAGAGGAAGACTTGGTTTTCCTCCCACGTGGAGGCCCAAATGTTGATGTCTGGTTAACAGGAAGTCTGGCCACCTCCATGTTTGCTGGGGCCCAGGTGGAAATGTTTGGTCATGTAACCTGGGCAAGAGTTCTGATCATGGTGCATGGTGACAATTCAAGACAACATAAGACCTTCCTTTCTGAGTAGGTTTTTTCTATCTTTTGATTTTCCACCACCAAAGGAAAACCTTCCTCTCTTTGCCCCTCTTCCATCCAGAATGGACAACCCTGCATGCTTTATTTGAGCCCAGGCTATTTTTTTTTCCTCTTCTGCTACAGGTAACGAACTAAGTTGGAAGAAAAGGGGTTGGGACAGTGGACTTTGGGAGGTTAGACAAGTGAGTATTATGCAATTCTCACCTACGCAATTCCTTCGATTTTAAAATCTGATCCCATCTTCCACATCACACAAATGAGGAGGATACATAACCAAACAGACAATCTGGCCACCATGGCCATCAGCCCTCAGATATCAGTCTGAAGAGGAGAACTTTTGCTTGCAATCCCCCCCTCCGCTTCCCCTGGAACCAAGGAAGTTCTGGTGGGAATTTCTGCACATGGAAGTTTTCAGTGAAGTGCATTGGCCGGACTGTTTCCACCTTCTTAAAAACTTATTTAAAAGGATAAGCCATTGCACTTCTCTTTTCCCATGTCAAGTTGCAGGGAACCAAAGCCCTACCCCATATTATCATGTTCCCAGTGTTATTCTTAAAAAGACACCCAAGAAGACAGTTAGTTGGCTACGGTGTCTTGCTTCAGGAATGAGAGAGATGAAGACCACTCAAATCTCATGTACCTGTATCCCCAACCTCCACCACCCCCTCTTGCAATTTTCACCCACCCAGAAATGGAGAAACAACTGCAAAGGAAGACATTCCAGTCCGCCCTAATGAGGGGCAGCAAGGGTTGCTTCCGGGTTAGTGGTTAATTCAGATGACAAATGTTTGTCCAGCCAATGGAGCCCGGAAGAGGGGTATCGGCTGGATAAGAGATTGCTTACCAGTTTTTTGCACTCTTTGAAGAGATCGCTATTCAAGACACTGCACGATGTCTCCACCATCACCTGTTTCGCTATATTACCACTGCACAACGAAGAAGCCAGGTCCTGCCCTTGAGAAAGCTGCTAAAAGGGAAGGAATACATTATAAATCCAACAAGTGGGACAGCCCTCTATTGATTACCTGCCAATTTAGCATCATCCCAGCAGTGAGAGCTAATAATCCTTTCTCAGAAAACACAGATGTCCAAATGTGTGGGAACAAATCAAAAGATCTGGCTTTCACTTCTTAGGAAAAATAAATCTGATTGTCACACAGTCAAAAGCTGAGAGCTTTTCTTACCAGAAGATTTCTGGACAAAAGTATATTTGAAGCTGTTTTGACACTATTACCAGAAAAATAATGATATTCCTTTTAGTGGTAGCTTGTATCATGCATTTCCTTCAAGATCTCAGAAATGGGTCCGTATCAAAGTTCGGGGTTTCTTCCTACACGTGACTATAGTAGATTAGAATTTTATTGTATTATTCATTTGCACTTGATTAACAGATTGAAATTCAATGAATATTTACTGAACTAAATGATTAACTTCCCAAACTATCAAAAAAAAAAAGGCCCCCACAAAAATTCAGTTATTTAGTATATACTGCACTGTAATTATTGGTCACGTACAAATTGATGGGTTAAATCATAGATGACTCATCAAATAAAAATCCTTTAATCAAATGTATATGAGGCAGAAGATTTATTCAATCTGAAAAGAAACCAGAGAATGAGATATATGATAAAATTAGCAGTGCTTTTTCCCCTAATGTGCAGATAGCTAATTTTGAGACAGCCTCACCTTCAAGGCTCAGAAAGGAGGTTTCCTGGCGTTACTTAGAGGCCCCTTAGTGAGGAAATAATGGTTTCTGAAAGTCACCGTGTTACAGACAAGTAGCATACAGTGATCAGCCAACACGCTTAAAAATGTGACATTGGGCCCAGGAGGAGTCATCATCCCTCCAAGGCTTTAGAGGCACAGTGCACAGACACCTGGAAAGCAAGCCGGCATACTTCATAACAGTGACCAGCAGCTTCCCATTCCCAATCAGTTGAGAACTGAGAATTGCAAAATGGCCATATATAAGGCCTAGTTCCCCTTTTTCCTCTGGAGACTACTTTCCAACCCTCTGAGCAAGAGACTGTTCCAAAACTAATTCTCTTATTTCAGTGAAATGAGAGTTTAAGCCAGAGGTAGAGGCTAGGCTGAGAAATCAGAAAAGCACTCCAGAAGACGACGGTGATGAACCTCTTCCGTAATGCTTCCAAGAAAGTGACATGGACGTGCCTATGAAGTTATCAGCAGTTCTGGTGGACTTGAAGGAGCCTTTATCTTTGTAATGAACTGAAACAGACCAGTTGAAAACAGACAGATCAACCATGGACAGGGATAAGAGTTGGTCTCAGTCCAAATGCAAGACTGGGGTTGGGGGAAGGCTACAGAAGTCATCTGAAAAAGAAGCTGCTGAGGTAAAAGGTAAACTATAGAGGAGATGCCTGTATGGGTCACCAGACAGCTTAAGGATTATCATCTGGGAAAAATCAGAGCTTGGTTACTCCCTTGAAGAAATGGTCTTCTACAAAGTCACAGTGGGGATTCTCCCAGCAAGAATGGATCTGTTTCCCCAAATCACCCTCTGGAATTCTCATGGCCTCCCACCAGGTCACCTTGGAGTAGGATCTCAGGATCAAGGCCCTTCGAAGTCCAGACCCATTAATTAGACTTCCATATAAGGCAGCCTAGAAGATACTTAACAAGTCAGCCATAATTGTATTAGATCCGGTAATCCATAAATGGAGCCCCTTCTTCTGAAAACCTTGCAGAGAATTTAACTTCCCATTCTAAATTAATCTTAAACTATCAATTTTATCAATGTACATTTCCCCATCTTTCTTCTTCCATTGATCAAGTCACGGTAAAAAAAAGTTTGCCAAGATCAGCCAGAAAAACTCTTCCAATTATTAGCTAGACGACTTCACTGGGCACTTTCAAGCAGAGGGATGCTTTAATTGGGGGTCTTGCGCTGATCAGGGAGGTTGGGCTTTGTGACCTGAATGCCCCTTCCAACTCTAGGAGTCTATGATTCTCGGGCGTGACTTATCTTTCTCCCTTCTGTAATTTCATATAAATTATTCAGCCTCAGACAGGAAGTAAACAGTATCCCGCCTTGCATTTTGAACATGCTGTAGCTTTATCTTTGCCTTGCGTAAATAATCTAATTTAAGTTGCACATTCTTTGATTTCTCTGCATTTCTTGTAGCACCATAATGCTATACATTTGAAAACTATGACAGTGAGTAAAGTTTCCATTTCTGTGGAGTCCGTGGGGTTCCCTGAGCTTGGTTGTTTTCTTGCCAGTGTTTCATTACCCGGCTAGGTCACACCTTCAGTGCTCGAAGGGAGTGGGGTTTGCTCCCTGCTTATATACAGTGGCCTGGCCTGCCAGTGTTGGTGGGGTGTGGGTTTGTTTTGTATTATTTCCCCCCCCCCCCAAAAAAAAAAAAAAAAAAAAAAAAA